GCCGGATGTGCCTGATTGTTTACTCTCTATTATTTTGCTGTTGTAATTTTAGAGTTTTTTTTAATATTGGTAGCCAGATTTTGTTCATCTAATCACCTCTCAACAAAAGATTCCCCCAGGCACTGCCAAGCCATCAAATGCTAATTAAGGTGGTCATTTGAAACATTCACACCTAGCTCCAGCAGACAAGAGTCCTTTGTCCCACCCTGGTCATTCCACAGATATATAAACCCTTTTTTCCTAGTTCCAACAGACCTCACTACCTCTGAGGATGCTTGCCATAGATGCAGGTGAAATGTCAGGAGAAAATGCCTCTAGAACATGGCCATATAGCCCAGAAAAACCTACAACAACCCAGGTTACTTGCTTTGAACTGGATTATATGACAGTGTAGAGTCATATAATCCAGTTCAAAAAAGATAATCTGGATCCAGAAACTGGATTAGATGGTAGATAAGGCCTTAATGAGCTACTTAGGTACAACAGATGATAACTGTGTGTAGTCTTGCAGCTAATTATACAACTAATCTCAAGTCAAAAGGATGTTCAGTGGCTGACATGCTAAGAGGTGAAAGGAAAGTCCAAGGCTGCACAGAAAAAGGGACAAGGAATAGTTTGCTGAGGTTACCAGCACTCTTTGGCCAAGAAGGGTAAAACCCTGTAAAGCTACAGCTCCTAGGATTCTACAACATTGAGCCATGGCAATTAAAGTGATGTTGAACTGCATTAAATCCACAGTGAAGATCCACCCAAAGATTCTTATTTTATCTAAATAAATAAAAATGTAATGTTCGTTTGTGGGATTAACATAACTCAAAAGCCACTGGATCAATTGACACCAAATTTGGACACAATACACCTATCAGGCCAATGAGTGACCATCACTCATAAAAACACTAGAAAACACAGCAGTTATAGAACTCCAATATACTGATGATAACATAGTCTGTGCGCATTCAGAAGACCACCTACAAGCCACTCTAAACACCTTAAAAGCCAAAAAACCCCCCAAAAATACATTACAAAGCATGCGCAACACCACATATATACATATATACACAAATATACACGCACACAACACATATACACAGACTGGGCCACAACAATGCATGGCAGAGGGCAGCTAGTATCAAATATAATAACAAACCATCTTTGTAAAATAATGGGCACAGTGTAGTGTCTACCCTAAATTAGGAATCTTGGGCTGGATCTACACAGCCCTATATCCCAGAATTTGATCCCACATTATCTGATTTGAACCGGTTTATATGAGTCTCTATTGCCATGTAATCTGGGATAAGCAGATAATCTGGTATCAAATCCTGGGATATAGAGCAGTGTAGAAAGGGTCTCAGAGACAAGAGTTTAAATTCCAGTTCGGCCAGGGAAAGCCAATGGATGACTTCGGGGAAAGTCATACTCTCTCAGCCTCAGAGGAAGGCAAAGCCCCTTTTGAATATATTTTGCCTAGGAAAACCTCTTATAGGGTTCCTGTAACAACAAAATTCTCTTAAATCATTGTAACTCAAGGACCATAAAATAATCAGTCCTATTCAGCCTTCAGCGGGAGAAAATGCCAACGAACTCAATGGGACTTATATCTGAACAAACATAATTGAGAGTGTACTGTTAACACTTCTTGCAGCTTGAGCTCCAAGAGACAAAAATCCCCTTCAACGGTGTATGAAAACATTCATGGGCATTTTCATTAGTCTAATCGTTCCCAAGTGGATTCCAGAATGTTTACACTTTAGGGCGGGATAGTCTGAAGGCATTAAACAACCACACGCGTGAAATGACAGGAAGAAACGTGAGCAAAGTACGTTTTATTGGGGTTATTTTTTCAAAAGAAACAATGCTAATGTGCCACCCACTTCATTCCAAACAAGCTGCAGAAAGCAAGGAGAAATTTTCATTAAGCCACAGATAAACACCATTAATATATATGTTGTTGTTTATTTGTTCAGTCATTTCCGACTCTTCGTGACCTCATGGACCAGCCCACGCCAGAGCTCCCTGTCGGCTGTCACCACCTCCAGCTCCTTCAAGGTCAATCCAGTCACTTCAAGGATGCCATCCATCCATCTTGCCCTTGGTCGGCCCCTCTTTCTTTTTCCTTCCATTTCCCCCAGCATCATTGTCTTCTCTAAGCTTTCCTTTCTTCTCATGATGTGGCCAAAATACTTCAACTTTGTCTCTAATATCCTTCCCTCCAATGAGCAGTCGGGCTTTATTTCCTGAAGTATGGACTGGTTGGATCTTCTCAGGGTTAAAGGCACTCTCAGAATTTTCCTCCAAACCTACAGTTCAAAAGTGTCTTATCTTCCTTTGCTCAGTTTTCCTTATGGTCCAGTTCTTGCATCCATAGATTACTATGGGAAATACCATTGCTTTAACTATGCGGATCTTGGTTGCTAGTGTGATGTCTCTACTCTTCACTATTTTATCGAGATTGATCATTGCTCTCCTCCCAAGAAGTAAACATCTTCTGATTTCCTGGCTTGGAGGAGGGCAGACCATGGATGATGGGACTTGAAGTACCTCCAATCACTTCCCGACACAGCTGCAACCCTCCTCCAATGACTCATCAAGACCAAACTTGGCACACAGAGCCCCCATAACCCATTCTACATCCTGGTGCAGTTTTGAGGAGGGTTGACTACAGATGATGGGACTTGAAGTGCCTCCACTCATTTCCTGAGACCACTGCGACTCTCATCCAATGACTGATCAAAACCAAACTTGGCACACAGAGCCCCCATGACCCACTCTACATCCTGGTGGAGTTTGGAGGAGGATGGATCACAGATGATGGGACTTGAAGTACCTTTACTAACTTCCTGAGACCACTACAAGCCACATGAATAACTGATAAAGACCAATTTGGCACACAAGGCCTTTCTCAAATAACCCGGTACTACCGGGTCCCCAAGCTAGTATATAATAAAAAACAGGAAAAAAGAAAATGTGAGGGCATGCATTCTTCCTGTCATAACTGTGGCCAAGAAAGAAGAAGAAGAAGAAGAAGAAGAAGCAGCTCAGCCTGCATCTACAAAGTAGAATCATTACAGTTTGACACCACCTTAACAGCCATGGCTCAATGCTATTGAATCCCAGGAGTTGAAGTTCTTACAAGATCTCTAGCCTTTGGTGCCAAAGAGTGCCGGCGCCTCTCCAAATTGTAAAATTCTATGATTCCAAAGCATTCGGACATGAGAGTTTGAAGTGGTGTAAAACTGCAGAATGAAAGAAGTTTAAAACCACTTTAAACTCTCATGGCCTAATGCTATAGAACCATAAAATTTATATTTAGTGTAAAAGCAAAAAAGGAGGAATTACACATCTTGTCAGATCAAGGTGTGTAATTCCTCTTTTTTGCTTCCTGTAACAAGTAGGAAGAGAAGGAAAGAGAGAGAAGAGAAGGGAAAGGAAGGGAAGAAAAAAGGGAAGGGAACAACAAAGAAAGGAAGGGGGAAAGAAAGGGAATAGTAGGGAAGGGAAGAGAGAGAAAGGAAGGGAAGGGAAAACAAAGGAAAAGAAGGAGAAGGCATAGGAAGGGGAAAGAAAGAGAAGGGTAGGTTAGGGAAAGTAAGGTAAAGGGGAGGGAAGAGAAGGGGAGGGGAGGGAAAGAAAGAGGGGAAGGAAAGGAAGGGAAGAAGGGAGAGAAGGGAGAATGAAAGAAGGGAAGGAAGGAAAGGAAAGGGAAAGGAAGGGAAGGGAAGAGAGGAAGGGAAGGGAAAGGAAAGGAAAAGGAAAGGGGAGAGGAAAAAGGAAGGGAGAGAAGGAAGAAAAGGATGGAAGGGAAGGAAGGAAAGAGAGAAGGGAAGGAAAGGAAAAAAGGGAAGGGGAAAAGAAGGGAAGGGAAGAGGGAAAGAAGGGAAGGGAAGAAAAAGAAGGGAAGGGAGGAAAGAAGGGAAGAAGGGAAGGAGGGAAAGGAAAGGGGGAGGAAGGGAAGAGTAGGGAAAGAAAAGGAGGGAAGGGAAGGGAAGGGAAGAGAGAGAAAGGAAGGGAAAGGAAAAGAACGGGGAGGGGGAAAAGAAAGGGAAGGGTAGAGTTGGGAAAAAAAGGGAAGGGAAAGTAAAAGGAAGGGAAAGAAAAAAAGGAAGTGTAGGAAAAGAAAGGGAAGGGTTTGGAAGGGAGGGAAGGGTAGGGAAGGGAAGGGAAGAGAGAGAAGGGAAGGGAAGGGAAAGAAAGGGGAAGGAAAGAAAGAGTAGAGGAAAAAGGAGTAATGTGTTATTGAAGTGAATATCTATAAGTTAATTTAAAGTAAATTAAAGTACAATGACAGTTACTTGTATTATGAAATGAAGGAATGTAAAGTAAGCATGCCAGGTAAATGAACCCAGAACGTGACTGGTTTGGAATGAGTATATCATAGACTGGAAGTTAAAGCAAATTCAGTACATGTTAATTCCAATTGAAGTACAAAGTAAATGTAATTTTAGGTTATTTTGCAAGTAAAGGTTCGGGAGAGAGGTGGTTGTAAAAGTAAAGGTAATGGAAGTAAAGTTAAACCATTGTCATTTACCGTCACTTGCATTGTAAGGGCAAGAACCAATGTGGAAGGAAGGTAAAGCTAACCGTTCATCCTATTATTGAACGAAATGAAGGAAGGGGGAACAAAAAAAAAGTGAATTAAGGGAAGTGAAGGACGATACGAGAAATTCAAGAAAGCAAGGAAGGTTATGTTAAAGTAAATTAAGGATAGAAGAGGTGAAAGAGGGATTATGTAGAAGTAACTGTAAAGTTAAGGTCAAGGGAAAGAAAGGACAATTAAAGTTGGGTATGTTATGGCCATCAATGTATAACAGCTAACAGTGGCAATAAGAGAGGGGAATTAATAAAGATTGGACGGTACATTACAATGAAAAGCAGTTTAAAGGAAAGGAAGGGAAAAGAAGGCAAGAGAAGAGAAAGCAAGCGACAGGCGAGTGCAGGGGAGGGGAGGGCTGGACAGGAGGGAGGAGTGGGCGTGGCCTGCGGCGGTGGGCGTGGCCCGCTCGCCTCCGCGGTGGCGTTCGATGGTGCCGCGGCTGCTGCTCCTGCTGCTGCTGTTCTTGCGGGGCGAGAGACGACGGCGATTGGCGGCTCCTTTTCCAGGCTGAGGAGAGCTGCTGGTTGGAGGCTCACCGCGAGATTGAGAAAGAGAGGGAGGGAGAAAGAGAGAGAGAAGGAGCGAGGCGGGCTCGGGTCCCCATCTCTGCTCCTCCTCCTCCTCCTGCGTGTCTGTCATGAGCATCATCCCCAGCTCGGCGTGAGGGAGGCGGGCGGCGGGCGAAGGGGCCCGGCATGAAGCCCCTGGAGAAATTCCTCAAGAAGCAAGGCTCCCATTTGGCCTCCAAGGCCACGGCGACGGCGGCAGTGTCCGTGGCAGCGGCGGGGCCCATGGCTCGGCGGCAGAGCGCCTCCAAGGTGCTTCCGAAGGAGCCTCCCGAGGAAGAGGCGCCGGAGCCGGCGGAGGAGGAGGCGGGCCCCGAGAGCGGGCGGTGGCTGGAGCTGCGCCCCCCGGAACCCGTGCTCCGCTCGCCCACCTCCTTCTCCTCAGAGGAGCTCTCCCCCGCCGGAGGAGGAGGAGGAGGAGGGGGCGGAGGAGGAGGAGAGGGGCAGCTCAGCCCGGAGCCCGCGCCCCCCACCTGCTGCTGGGCGCCCCTGGCCCAGCCCCACAGCCCCCCTGGACTGCTGGCGGGCTTGCTGGAGAGGCTCGGGCAGGACCCCTCCGCCCCACACCGACACGGAGGCTGCGGGGCAGGTAAGCTTCCCCGTCGGTCCCCCTCCTCAAGCTCTGGCTTCTAGGCTGTCGCTGCGTTAAATGGAGCAAGAGTGCCTCTGAGCATGTGCTAAGTTCCACCCTCCTTCCCTGAATAGAAAGGGTTCGAGAAGGGAGGCACAAACCTCTCCATTCGTACCCAGGAATCAAATAGATCCAGTTCAGAGCTGGGTTTGCATTGGGAGGCTTGCAATATGTGTGTCCCCCACCCCCTCCTCTCTGCAACTCTGCCCAGCTCTGCTTTAGACTGCCCATATCAGACAGAGTGCCTCTGAGCATGTATAAAGTTTTCCCCTCCTTCAGACTGGTGTCTCCCCAGAGGGTGACACAAACCTCTCCATTTGGACCCAGGAATCAAATGGATCCAGTTCAGATGGGTTTGCATTGGGAGGTTTGCAATATGTATGTGCCCCCCCCCCCTCCATTGCAACTCTGCCCAGCTCTGGTTTAGACTGCCCATATCAGACTGAGTTCCTCTGAGCATGTGCAAAGTGTTCCCCTTCTTCAGACTGTATAGAAAAGGTTCAGGAAGGGGGACGCACTGACCTCTTGATTTGGACCTCTCCATTCAGACCCAGGAATCAACTCTGCAACTCTGCCCAGCTCTGCTTTAGACTGCCCATATCAGACAGAGTGCCTCTGAGCATGTATAAAGTTTTCCCCTCCTTCAGACTGGTGTCTCCCCAGAGGGTGACACAAACCTCTCCATTTGGACCCAGGAATCAAATGGATTTAGTTCACAGCTGGGTTTGCATTGGGAGACTTGCAATTATGTATGTCCCCCACCCTCTCCTCTCCATTGCAACTCTGCCCAGCTCTGGTTTAAAGTGCCCATATCAGACTGAGTGCCTCTGAGCATGTGCAAAGTGTTCCCCTCCTTCAGACTGTATAGAAAAGGTTCAGGAAGGGGGACACACTGACCTCTTGATTTGGACCCTGAAATCAAATGTAGCCATTTTAGTGCTAGGTTTGAATTGGGAGGCTTGACATATGTGCAAGTTCTGGTTTAGACTGCCCATATCAGACTGAGTGCCTCTGAGCATGTACAAAGTTTTCCCCTCCTTCAGACTGGGGTCTCCCCAGAGGGAGACACAAACCTCTCCATTTGGACCCAGGAATCAAATGGACCCAGTTCACAGCTGGGTTTGCATTGGGAGACTTGCAATTATGTATGTCCCCCACCCTCTCCTCTCCATTGCAACTCTGCCCAGCTCTGGTTTAAAGTGCCCATATCAGACTGAGTGCCTCTGAGCATGTGCAAAGTGTTCCCCTCCTTCAGACTGTATAGAAAAGGTTCAGGAAGGGGGACACACTGACCTCTTGATTTGGACCCTGGAATCAAATGGAGCCATTTTAGTGCTAGGTTTGAATTGGGAGGCTTGACATATGTGCAAGTTCTGGTTTAGACTGCCCTTATCAGACTGAGTGCCTTTGAGCATGTGCAAAGTCTCTCTCACTTATGTGTCAGGAGTGAGAAACTGCAAGTCGCTTCTGGTGTGAGAGAATTGGCCGTCTGCAAGGACATTGCCCAGGGGACGCCCGGATGAATTGATGTTTTATCATCCTTGTGGGAGGCTTCTCTCATGTCCCCGCATGAGGAGCTGGAGCTGATAGAGGGAGCTCATCCGCCTCTCCCCGGATTCGAACCTGTGACCTGTTGGTCTTCAGTCCTGCCGGCACAGGGGTTTAACCCACTGTGCCCCCGCTCCCCCCCCCTGCCCCCAAAAGGAAAGGGTTCAAGAGAGGGGACAGAAACCTCTCCATTCAGACCCAGGAGTCAAATGGATCCAGTTCAGAACTGGGTTTGGATTGGGAGGCTTGCAATTAAGTGTGTCTCCCACCCCCTCCTCTCCATTGCAACTTTGCCCAGCTCAGGTTTAGACTGCCCATATCAGACTGAGTGCCTCTGAGCATGTGCAAAGTGTTCCCCTCCTGTATAGAAAAGGTTCAGAAAGAGGGACACACTGACCTCTTGATTTTGACCCTGGAATCAAATGGAACCATTTTAGAACTAGGTTTGAATTGGGAGGCTTGCCATATGTGCAAGTTCTGGTTTAGACTGCCCATATCAGACTGAGTGCCTCTGAGCATGTACAAAGTTTTCCCCTCCTTCAGACTGGGGTCTCCCCAGAGGGAGACACAAACCTCTCCATTTGGACCCAGGAATCAAATGGATCTAGTTCACAGCTCAGTTTCAGATTGAGAGGCTTGTAATTATGTGTGTCCCCCACCCCCTCCTCTCCATTGCAGTTCTGCCCAGCTCTGGCTTAGACTGTCCATATCTGAGTGCCTCTGAGCATGTGCAAAGTGTCCCCCACCCCCAAGCTGTATGGTAAAGGTTCAGGAGGGGTATACTGACCTCACCATTTGGACCCTGGAATCAAATGGATCCAGTTCAGAGCTGGGTTTGCATTGGGAGGCTTGCAATATGTCCCCCTCCTCTCCATTGCAACTCTGCCAAGCTCTGATTTTTAGACTATCTCTGAGCATGTGCAAAATGTTTTTCTTCCCCAAAGGCAGTATGGAAAGAGTTGTTCCACTCCTCCGTTACAACTATGCCAAGCTCTGGGGTTTTTTAGGCTATTCAGGTGTGCAAACACACATCTGACTGAAGTTTTTTAAAAACGAGTGTCTCTGAGCATGTGAAAAGTGTCCCCATCCCCAGTATGGAAAGGGTTCTGGAGGGGAACACTGACCTGTCAGTTTGGACCCTGGAATAAAATTGGGAATGGATTGGGAGGCTTGCAATATGTGCCCCTCCTCCATTGCAACTCTGCCAAGCTCTAATTTTTAGACTGCCCACATCAGACTGAAAGCAAGAGTGCATCTGAGCATATGCAAAGTTTTCCCCCCAAGGATGAATGGAAAGAGTTCGGAGGGCACGGACTTCTCAATTTGGACCCTGGAACCAAATGGATCAATTTTGGCGCTAGGTTTGGATTGGGAGGTTTGCAACTCCACCATTGCAGCTCTCCATTGCAACTCCGCCAAGCTCTGATTTAGACTGTCTCTCGATTAAATTTAACAAAAGTGCCTCTGAGCACATGCAAATTTTTTTTCCCCATGTCAGTAAATGGGAGGTTGGTATGGAAAGGGTTCAGGAGGGGGCAAAATGGATCCAGTTCAGAGCTGGATCTGGATTTGGAAACTTGCAATATGCCACCAAGCTCTGATTTTTAGACTGTTCAGGTGTGCCAACACACGTCTGACTGAAGGTTTTTTTTTAAAGTGTCTCTGAGCATGTGAAAAGTCCTCGTCCCTTCTCCCCTTCCCCGGATCCTATGGAAAGGGTTCAGGAGGGGGACACTGACCTCTCATTTTGGACCCTGGAATAAAATTGATCCATTTTAGACTTGGGTTTGGATTGGGAGGTTTGCAATATGTCCCCCTCCTCTATTTCAACTCTGATTTTAGACTGTTCAGGTGTGCCAACACACATTTATTTATTTATTTATTTATTTATTTATTTATTATTTACTACACTTATTTATTTACTATACTTTATTTATATACTTATTTATTTATGATGTTAATTGTAATGAATTTTTTTATCTATGTTAAATGTTTTTAATATTTAAATTATCTTTGCATTGTTATGGGCATCGAATTGTGCCGTTTTGTAAACCGCCATGAGTCGCCCTCGGGCTGAGAATGGCAGTATAGAAGCATAGTAAATAAATAAATAAATACTACATCTGACTGAATATTTTTTTAAAAAGAGTGACTCTGAGCATGTGCAAAGTCACACCCCTTCCCGAATGGTATAGAAAGCATTCAGGAAGGCGATACAAACTTCTCAATTTGGACCCTGGGATAAAATTGATCCATTTTAGAGCTGGGTTTGGATTGGGAGGATTGCAATATCTCGCCCTCCTCTCCATTGCAAATCTGCCAAGCTTTGATTTTTTAGACTGTCCACATTGGATTGAAAACAAGAGTGTCTCTGAGCATGTGCAAAGTTTTTTCTCCCATTGCAGGTGTTGGGGGGGGGGGGCAGAGAAGGCAGGGCTGTGTCCAGTAATGGAGTTGTGGGGACAGATTCCAGACACTTGATTTGAACACTGGGTTGGCTTTAGAGGGAGAAGGCTTGGAATCCCCCTTACTGCAATTGTAGCAAGCTCTGATTTCGACTGCACAGATGTGTGAATGCATATCACGCTGGAGGTGAAAAAAGAGCACCTCTGAATATGTGCAAAGGCTTGTAACGAGGGGGAGTAAAGATGAGGTAGGGACCAGGAAAAATCAATCAATTATGAAGCTGGGGTGGTTTGGGGAAGTTGGAATGCCCCCTCCCAATTGCAACTGTACCAAGCACTGATTTAGATTGACAGGCATCATCTCTGCATGAACACATGTCTGACTGAAGCTGTAAAGCGGTGTTTCAGAGTATGTGCAGGTTTTCTAAGGAGGGGCAGTGGGGTACGGACTGGGACTGGTAGCAGGGAGAGGATTCAAAGCCAGTTTAGAGCTGGGATGGTTTGGGTTAGGACCTCCCCCCCCCCCAAAAAAAGCTCAGATTTAGACTAACTCACATCATTTATGCGTAAGCACACATCTGACTGAAGGTAGCATGTCTCTGAATATGTGCAAAGTTGGGTTTTTTATGCACCTCGTGGGATGCTGAGATTTATTGTGGAAGAAGAGGTCATTCCCAAGCTCTGAGCAATATCTGCTTTTCGTCTCTGCTGTTCGTTCCCATCCAATATAAGAAGGTGTGGTTTTGAGTTGCAGGTGTATGCTGAGATTTTAAAGGAGGCAGGCTGGATTCTAAGATAGAGAAGATGTAGAATTGGATGAGGGAAGTGAGAGCTTTCCCAGTAGAGGAGCTTGGCAAGGGTATTAAGACTTGATCAATTCGATCTCATCCATGATATGGATTGCAGCACCCGTGTATTCCTCAGAAACTGCTATGTCGGGTAGCAACTACCATTATAGTACAACTCGATTGCATTAAGTTGGCTTCGATTGGCGGTAGCCTGAGG